ACAGACCTTTTTTGGCCTCTGCATTTTTGATCTGTCCAGCCTGGATTTTGAGAATGTTTTATCAGCCTGAAATCACCAAATTTGGAGCTAATAGAGCTTCTGCAACACACATATCTGATTATATAACACTGCAACATTGATTAGTCATGCCGAGTATCTGCTCATGTCCAATTTTAGGAGCCTAGTTTGTCTCAGGTGACATTTAGCATTCAGCTGTTACAGGAGGAAAAAAAGGTTTAGATTTGAGTAAAGGAAACGCTAATAAAACTGGACCATGTTTCTGTGGTTGGCTGGATTCTCTGAACACCAGCCGGTATCACAGCTGGCATAATATTTGCCCTCCATACTTGTCTGTCATCACATGAAGTCCGATTAAGCCCTGAATAACGTTGCATATCCTCCAGGGCCATTAACATACACACAGGATAAAATAATCACTGCTGTCCATTCAACAGCTCGTGCATCGCCCCTTCTCACCACTTCAGCCTTTGTACTGTCTTCATCGGCTCCTATTTTAGCTGCAGCGAGCACTGTGAAGTGTTGAGTAATGCTGCAGCCTTATTTAAAAAGGTTTTGTGGTGTTATTTATGATGGTCCCGGTTATTTTAAGGAGTGTGTGTGTGTGTGTGTGTGTCTGTGGGATGTAGGACAGCTCCCCCTGGTTCCTCTGCTTTCTGTGTGATTAATGAGGAGAGCTCAGCAGTTGGTTAACTCCGACGCTTGCACTTACTTTCTCAAAGACACAAAAAGGGAGAAACTCTTGAGGGAATGTGTCTTGTTAGCTCGCTCTGACCTCCGACTTTTCGTGTCAATGAAATTAGGAGAAAAGCCGACCCAGAACGAGTCTCTTGAATCTAAATTACTTTTGACTTTGTGGAGGTCTTAAAGGACGGGCTCCCTTGTTTTTTTTTTGGTTTGTTTTTCATCTCAGAGCAAATACAAATGTTTCCTGTTTATTAATAAGCAGGCACAGAACCACCTCTCCGATAGCGTTTGTTGTCCAGTGTCGTCCTCAGAAACAATCAAGAATTCATTTCCGCCATTCTCTAGAAAAAGGTAACCCCCTTTATGACCACAGTGTACCCATCTTCTGATGGCTGCTTCCAGCAGGATAACGCACCATGTCACAAAGCTCACATCATCTCAAACTGGTTTCTTGAACATGACAATGAGTTCACTGTACTCCAATGGCCTCCACAGTCACCAGATCTCAGTCCAATAGAGCACCTTTGGGTTGTGGTGGAACTGGATTTTCTCATCAAGGATGTGCAGCCGACAAATCTGCAGCAACTGTGTGATGTCATCATGTCAATATGGACCAAAATCTCTGAGGAATGTTTCCAGCACCTTGTTGAATCGGTGCCACAAAGAATTAAAAACGGAGTCCAACCTGGTACGAGCAAGGTGTACCTAATAAAGTGGCCGATGAGTGTATACTCACAATAGGCTATACATTTCTCTGTCACTGTTATTCAGTACTTCGGTTATATTTATGATTATTTAATTAAACAATTAATATTCCTTTTATTCCTAATCAACTAGTCGTCAATCACCTGAATGTGCTGTCATCCTTCAGTGTGACTTCTCATGGTCGATGTGATGGATCTTGCACTGCAGAGGATTGTGGGTCAGAACAGTCAGAAAAGCATGCTGGCTTATATACTGAAAAATCAGACCGGGTGTTGTAGAACATCTGGTGCTTTAGACACACTATGTACTGGGACAAACTAAATCTTTTTCTGGCACTCTTTAGTGTGGTAGTACAGGTATTGGAGCACACAGATTGACTTTACACTGTGTTCAATTTCTTGAGCAGGGGCGCCATCTTGTGGTGAATGTGCTGTGTTACCTCTGCCTGCCACAGTGATCAAGCAACTGTTTGGACAAACTATAAGGAGTGTAAGGATACATTTATCTGGATCAATACACTGATTAAAGAATGCAATATTATACATGTGTTTTTTTACTTTTTCCAGCTGTGCCTTTGTGGCTTACAAGCAAACACCAATAAATTTAAATAAACCAAACGCATCCGAGCTTTCAGAGTGTGATTGCTGTGTTCACACCTGCCCAAACGAACCGCACTCAGGGGGCAAACGAACTTGAGTTCAGTTGAAGCGAACCAAACAGGGCAGCTGTGAAAGCACCCTCACATGTACTCACCTGAGGGTGTGAACACCGCTCCAGCACGTCCTCTGCAAACTTAAATTACACAATGAGTCATCAGTCATCCTGCTCAGACGTCATCTCGTCCATCGTCTCAACTCTGCACAGCTTCCTCTTCCCTTTGTGACGGTCCTGCCACCCCTGATGATGATATGCTGAGGATCCAGTTTTAGACAGATGTGACTTAACCCTTTAAGAACTGGCTCACACAACAATATTGTAAGCTTCAATTAGAAGCCCAGGCTATTATTTGCTTAAAGCACTGAAATCACCAGGCCTATATTTGGGACAGGCCTTTAATTTCTTTAACGCAAAACTGTTGCTCAGCAAGATGGGAACTATTATTTGAACCAGTATGAATATTGTATAAAAATTAGGCTTCGAATAACGTGTGTTATGTTATGACACTTGTCTCACGGCACTGACACTTTATCCTGTTCAAACAATATTGATAACTTGGATTAATTTTTAGTCCTGCCGTTTGTCAAACCTTCGTATGTTCATACATCGGTAGCTGCAGCTCATCTCTCAGATATCTTAAACATATTTCCGAGCCTTGTCCCAAAAGCCGACTCATTCATACTCATTATAAATCACTTTGTCTACAGTTTTCAATACAAACTAGTGGATCCACTGCAGCAGGAGGATCCTCTGATCCCCCATCTTCCAGAGGGGAACCCGTCCAAACAAAAGAAAAGATTAACATGTCTCATGAGTGACTGAGAGCAGCAGCTAAGCAGATTTACTTTTATTTACTTGGAGGCAATTACATGTTTTGTAAGCCAGTCAGAGCTTTATGAGTGAGGAAAACGTCAGCTGACCCTTTCCGTATCGCAGACTTACCGTAAGTTTATTATTGGATAAGAAAGAGAAGAGAGGCCACACCAACACTGAATGTTTCTTCTTACCAGGTATATGTTTTAATACTCAACCATGATTCAGCACATTACACTGAGGAACAGCTGGTGGGTTTAACACAGGTAAAGCAGGCCCTAAACACTTTACGCTGCCCCGTCACCGTCCAGCCACAGACACACAGTATTTACATTAACCTACAGGATCTGCATGGTAAAACATCAATTCTCAGGGAGGGAGGAAGGAGCAGTGATCGGCTCCAGTTTATGTACAGGATTATAACAACAGTCCAGTTGCAGGTCACAAGATGCTTTCACGACACAATGGTTCACAGTACATCAAAGCACAAGTCAAGTCCGTACACATATAGCAACAGTATAAAAAGAACCATCAGGGCCACGTTATCCAACGAGCGGCGGCCTCGTTAAAGTGGAGCAATGTCGCCATCTTCTGGTGAGATCGCGCATCTGCTCAGAGTACAACAGAACGGACAACATTTAACTTCAAGAGTTCGGCTATCTAATTCAGTCAAGAATGAATGCAGTTACACACACTATCTAGTCTCAGGAAGAGAAGCTATCTATCCATCTATCTATCCATCTACAGCCGTCTGCTGGAATCAGTACAAAAAGAGATTTTACCACCCGACAGTCGGCTTTGATGGCTTTGAAAGGAGAGAAGTATCCTGTACAGTGTAAAGGACCATACCAGTGTTGTTACAAGTTTTAGCGCCTTAACGACAAACCTATGTACATTAATCCAGCTGCCGCAGTGGAGGTGTTTCAGTGTGTATTTTTCCATGAAGCCACTGTTTCCCTTTGGGATAGAAATCAATTAGCAGACTCCTGCTTGAGTTGTATAATCCATCACGTCTGCAAGATGTCTTGCTCCATTACCGTTGTGAGGTAATGCAGATTAACTGATGTGAGAAGGAACGCACTGCGGTACCTCTAGATAACAATGTGACTTTGACTAAAATGATGCAGATGTGACATTTATGGTGATGGATAACACACATTTGAAGCGTCTGTCAATGGAAACCAACAGCTTCCTGGAAAGTCAGGGAATACTTTAGGGTTTAGTTACGGACATATTAGAAAAGCTGCAGCTCTCTATTAAAGCTTTTGGTAACACTTTGTTCGGTCAGTCTGCTTACAGATAGATTATAGAGCATCTGGTTTGAACTTTATTTTTATTGGTGTTTTTCCCATTGTTTTGTATATTGATCAAGTCGCAGTCTTAAAGGTGATTTTCTCCATACAGTGAATTTGGTTAATAACTCCAATCCAGTCGTCCTTTGAAGAGGGCTCATCTGTGGCCTCCTCATGTGATGGCTTTCTTGCTCGCGGCGGAAAGTACTTTGTAAAGGTGATTGTCCAGGGTTTAGCCCAAGTACAATATCTCAAAAGAACAATCAACTTTTAGTTCAAAGATTATTTCTTTGGCAATCTGTTACCAAAACGAAGAACTTCTTGGTCATCCCCAAACAATATGAAAATGGTTTGCCATTGATTTACCGCCCAGACCCAGCTGTATAAATTTCAGTTTCTCTGGTTCTCTCTCCCATTTCTGTTTGACCTGGGCAGTGGAATCATTTTTGGAATTTGTAATCTATTATATATTTGTGATACAAGATGTTTCTTGTCTTTATTCTTCTAACATCAGTGAATGTGTTAATCAAATTGGGTTCATTATCCTCTGTAACATTTCAACAGCATATTGCTCATTCATTCATTTTCCGTAACCGCTCATCCTGTTAGGGGTCGCGGGGGGCTGGATCCTATCCCAGCTGACATTTGGTGAGAGGCAGGGTACACCCTGGACAGGTCACCAGACTATCACAGGGCTGACACATAGAGACAGACAACCATTCACACTCACATTCACACCTACGGACAATTTAGAGTCACCAATTAACCTGCATGTCTTTGGACTGTGGGAGGAAGCTGGAGTACCTGGAGAAAACCCACGCTGGGAGAACATGTAAACTCCACACAGAAGGGCTCCCCCACCCTGGGGTTCGACCACAATTCAACCGTTTCTCTTTTTTCTGTAGATGTTTAACAAATTATAAAGTATGTGACAGTACATGACCACACTGACATGTTCTCAGAAAAAACTAACAGGCTGTTGAAATGTTACAGACACTCTATAAACTCTGTAGGCGGATGATTCAAATAAAGTGTTACCAGACATTCTTACTAAAGGGATTATTTAAGTTTCAAGTAACGACTTGTTTTATAGCTCAGTTTTTAGCCTTTAACAACATTTGGGTTGCCAGGTTGTGAAATATCTCTCCGGTAGGTGAGTCATTAAAAGTCAGTGTCTTATGTCTAAAACAGTACGTGAGATTTTACAGTAGCCGTACTTTGAAACCAACAGTTAGTGTGACGGGTGTCGTGATATATACAGTGCTGACGATAACTGTCAACTTACCCAGGATATCTTGTCGTTATCTGGCTCGACCAGCACGGTGATTTATCCCGGTAAAAAGAGAACCACCTTCGTCACCTCGCTAATTTTCCATAGATACCACAATATCTTTATTGTGAACTCTTCTGGCCACGATTATCGTGTAGTGAAATCTGATATCATGTCAGCCCTGGACACTGTGCCGGCATCAATATCCCACAATGCAATGCAGTCGTCAACAATGTTCAGACAGCAGCTGAGTTAACTCTGTAAGGTCGTTAACACTTCAGTTTAAGTGTACGTATAAGATTAGCTACACGTAATGTATTTTAGAGTATTTTTTAAATTGCCGGTAGAGCTGAGGTTGGCATGAGTTGCCATGGTTACATGTCTCCAACCGCCAAGGGGGCTCTTAGGAAGTGATGTGCCAGTGTGTCGGAAAAGATACATACTGCGGTTTATCCAGAGAGAATTTTTTTGAAGGAAGTATGTAGTGCATATGTTCCGATTTCTGTCGCAGTGTTCCTTTCTAATATCGAAGCTAATAATATAAATGTTAAAGATATACTCCTCCTAAAATCATCACTCATGACCCACTATAAGTGTGTGTACCGTAAGGTGCAAACATCCAAGAGACACAGCACCGAAAAACACAAATATAGCGCGGCAAAACGAGAGCGAATCTGGGGTTGGCGAGGATGTTTCCGAACAATAATTGACAATCATGCAAAGTGTACCTTTAATAACAAAGTTCTGTTTCTGATAAGCAAAGAGCTTATTAAACCATCTGTGATTATAAACCTGGCAACCCACATGTTTAATGCTTACAGCTGATCTATTAGATACTAGTAAACAGTATATTACCATTAATAGATACCCAGTACACCTTAGGTTGAGGGCACAGATGTGTTTGAGGGTTGTAGGTGCTGCTGTGTGACGATTCGAATTAACTTTGGGATTTAAAATAGCCAGCAGCAGCAGTGTAAAGCATGCAGCATGGGAACAGTAAAACATGATGAGTCACTGGTATGGTCCCAAGTTAAATAGCTTAGTCATGGGTCTAAACAGCACTTTCACCAGTAAAGGTATAAGACAACAGCCTGAAGAGACGAGCCCTGTTGGAAAAAGCGACATCGCCCACATGTGATGCAGGAGTTTAGGGTTTGATCTGTGTTAATAATCTCAGAGGGACGATGATGATCGAGATGTTCTGGTGGTTAGTTTGTCGGTTTTTGTTACTAAACACACAGAGGATGCACATTAATAGGTGAATTTTAGCATAGATTCTTGTGTGACCGTCTCAGAAATATTTCCCCAGAATATTTGAAACACTATTGTCCTTAAAATACATGCCATGCTGATTTTTTTGATTTTCAGTATCAGTGAAAAAGGCCCCGATCAGCATGCCAGGCTCAACCTAAACGCTGCCGACTCTGCTGGTCGTCGCTCTGCCTCTCAACAGGCTGTAACTCACACGTAAAGCACCACAAATCACCCACGCACACGGTCATCCCGGCAGCTCGGGGGAGGTCTGCCCACACTGCTGTACTCATCCGACGATTAGCAACCGCAAACACAACACGGAGTTCTGATTTGAAATGAGCACAGAGACGGCCGTTTGTACAGACCTACGTTAGGAGCGTCTCGCTTTTCTTTAAAGTTAACCTTCGTCTTCTTCTAACTCTCCTTCCTCCTCCTCAGGCGGTCACATGGCACAGATGGTAAGCCAATGGCACGGCCTCGATCAGACCAGAATCTGTGTGTTTGTGTCGGCGTCCCCTACACGCTGGGTGTGTGTGCTTTTAGTGTGTGTGTTAGCGTGCTGGTTGGTGTGTGAGTGATGAGTGTGTGTGTGTTTGATATAATTGATTTCATTTGTTTCTTGTTGATCATGTGTGTGTTTGAGCTTGCCGTGCACGTGGACGTATTCGTCCTCACCCTCGCCGTGTGTGAGTGTTGGGCCATTGTCAGCGCGCTTCAGATCTTCTTGTGTGTGTGTGTGTGGTTCCTCTGGGTGTGCTCGTGTGTTGATGACCTCCTCGATCCAGCTCCTGAAGCGGCTGACACGAGTGTAGAGCGCGGGAGAGGAGGGGTCGGCGCAGCCGTAACCCCCGGCAACAACCCCGGTGAGGACCCATCGGCCCGTCTCCCCCTGACACAAGAGCCCGCCTCCAGAGTTGCCCTGACAACTGTCGCCATGGAGGAGGCTGGTGTCTGGAGGACTGCCGGCACACAGGGTGCCGTGGCTGGAGAAGCTGTCGCCATAGCGCTTCTTACATTGCCATGACGACATCAAAGGGACCCAGGATGCAAGGACTGAGTCTAGGAGAGAGGGTGAGATGATTAAAGGAGTGACATGTCAGAAAGGCTGAAACATAAAGTTGCTTTACAACAACAACAACAACAACAACAACAACAACAACTGACTGTGTCGTGTATGACTACTGATCAATCGTTTAATCGCTCATACACATGCCGCATCTTTTACCGCCTGGAAAATGCGAGGTCGGTTGCTGGGTGCTACTCTTGTGCCAACTTTAAAGGAAGCAGATGTACCTGATGTTGCTTAGCAACCACAACCAGCTGTGTGTGATAGCCTTGTTACCAGAAATACCAAGTCTGGAGCTGATCTTCTTACAGCTGTTGTTTTTTTAGTGTATTTTAAAACGTTATCCGTCGCACGTCTGTGCCCCGTGTTCTGCAGCTGTCGGCTCTATGAGGCTGTACTTGGACACATAGGTGCTGCTAGCTAAATGCTAACGTTAAAAAAGACATGGTACACTACAGAGAAAAACACATACCTGGTCCTGACCAGCCAGTGGTTACCATGACGACACAAGAAGACGGAGAACTTCCCACTGATGCTGCGTCAGTGGCAGGAAGGCATGCTGCGTTGGTGTTGTGCTCAAAGGTCAGACAGTGACCCTTGGTGCTGGGTAGCTTCAACAGAGCCAGATCATGACCTCCACTCTGACCCTTGAACTTCCTGTGGACCACCATCTGCTCTGGGGTCAGAGTCTGCTCTGAAGCCCCGACACGTACCATGTACCTGGACGGGTCGCTGCCAAACCTGCAGGAGAGAGGAGACAAGAAAACGTGGTGGATGGAGTTACAATTCGTGGTGTTCGCTGGTCCCACTGAAGACGCCTCCAGTGTAGGAAGTGACATGTAGTTCAGCGCTGGATTTACCTGCTGACACAGTAAGCAGACGTCAGGGCCCAGCAGGGGCTGATCAGAGTGCCGCTACAGAGAGGACTCTCATCCTGCTCTTGAGACTGGAGCCACACTGACACCTGCCATGGCCACGTGGTCCTGACGGAGGACAGACAAAGATCTCGATCAGTCTCGATCAATAACAACCACCTGTAGAGTTGTTGTCACGGAAACTCATTCTTTCATTTTTTATCTAAAGTTTGAAGATAAGGTGTCCGTGAGATCGTAAATGTTCCTATTCTAATAATTTTTATGACTTTTTTAAGGCTTAATATAGGATTTTTTTTCACCACATTTTTATGACACACTATATTATGAATTTTCAGTCACGTTTTTATTACTTTACCATGACTTAATGAGATTTTTATGACATACTATACAATGTTTTTTAATTACATTTTTACTACAAATTAATCTATGACCTCTTATGACATTTTTGACATACTATACTAAGACTATTTTTAATTCACTTTTTTTACATACTATCCTACAACATTTTTTCTGACATTTGTTCATCACAATTTAATTACAATTTTTTAAATCACATTTTTTACATATTCTACAATAACATTTTTGTAATCACATTTTTATTACATACTGTGACTTTCATATTTATTACGCACTATATATATATATATATATAGATGACATATAATTACGTTTTTATAGAAAAAAACTACATTTTTACGTCTATTTCACAGTATTTTTTACTTTTTAATGAATTTTTCTGACATCACATAATCATTACATATTTTACTATGACTTTTTTAATCTAATTGTTTATTACATACTAAATGGATGTTTGATATAAGATTTTTTTTGACATACTATGCTCATTTGTATTTAATACTATGCAATTACTTTTCTTAATCACTTTTTACTGCATGCTATACTGACATTTTTGTGGCAGGCTACACTCTGACTATCACGTCTCATATTATACTTACCACATTTTGTTGCACAATAATGAAATTTTAATCACATTTTAATTGCGTACTGACTTCTTTCCTAATATTTTTGACACACAATATGACTCTTATCAAAAGTCAGTACAGGTCCACACCGATGAGGCTTCTCTGTCAGTTCAATTACCAGAACAAAGCCACAGATTTGGACAGACTGTACCACCAAATCATGTCCTAAATCCTACCTGAGCATGCTGTCCTGCCCTTGGTTCCTCCTCTTGCTCTCCTCCTCCACCAGCTTCCTCAGCCCACAGCTCAGCTCTTGAGGCTTGGCTTGTACCGCTGACTTCTGCGGCGTGACATCACACCTCACCCCTGCATCCACCCTGCGTCTGCAGCCCTGGATGCTCTGGCCCAGGGAGGGACACTCTCCCAGGAACTCCTCCTTCCCTGTGCACCTCACCTGGTCCAGGTGGATGGGCCCCTTCCCCTGCCCGAACCCTCCGGCCGCTACCGCCCCACCACTGAGGAGGGACAGAAATGTGATTTTTTTGTGTGTACATTTTTATAAAAAATGTGACTGTCTGTCTCTGTCATGCATATAAACATTAACCTGTGTCCAAGCTGTCTGCACACCACCACTGCATTCAGGTCGTTCCAGCCCGAATCACAAATACTTCCCCAGTCACCATGGAGATACACCTCGACTCGACCCTCCTTTCTGCTGCTGCCACCCACAAGACGCACCAGGGGACCTGACAGGAAGAGAAAAAAACACAACTCTCATTCATATTCATGTCGGTGCACCTACATACTCCAGTCTGCACTCACTGAGAGTTATATGACCACTGACAGTGTTAAATGTCATCTGCAGCCTGGTGTCTCTTTATCCAGCCTCTATTCTCATTCTAATGGACCGAGTGTCTACAGGAGGCACAGTAAACACCTCTTTATTCTCTCTGCTGTCAACATGTGGCATTTAAATTCTTTGGAGAGCGAGAAACACAGATGTTTTCACACTGAGGTAATGATACAGCCCCACAAAAGGAGACAGAAGCCTCTCACAGATAAATAGACGAGACAGATAGAAACATTTTTTACATTGTGTTCTTTATTTATATCATAGAATTTTGTCTTAAACGGAGTCTGATGTAATTCCTGCAGGTTTATTAAAGTAAACAGCTCACAGCCTGGCGTTAGACCAGCGCTCTGCAGGAACAGCTTGCCCTTTTCGTACAAGATTAATTGCAGTTGCACAGACACCAAACTTCTGCAGTGCAGCACAATGAGCCTCTTCCTTTGTTCTTACTACAGTTGCTTTCTAATTAACAACAACTCACAAAATATTACACAGCAGTCTGGTGTGCTCTCAAACAACGTGTATCAAAGCCAGCGTAGTTTCCCTAATTGTGGCACTGCAAGGCAAGGCAGCTTTATTTATATAGATGCAGCTTCAAAGTGCTTTATAGACATTGAAAATATGAAAGTGTGAACATGTGCACAGATTTTGAGGCGAAATGGGTATAATTTTAATAAAAATAAAGCCATAAGTAAAACGCAATAAACGTTAGCCCCCCCTCCCAAAGGAGCCCAGTCTGCTCTGATTGGTCAGCGTTTTCAGGTCTTCCACACCTTTGTCGCGTAAATGATTATAATGGAAAACAGCAGCACTTTCTACCACGTAAAGCAGGAATACGATCCGAAATTGTGGAGAAATTAACAACATCCGCAACCAAGATTACACGTTTCCCTGATGTTAGCATGTGGCTACATGTAGCAGTGTAGGCTATGTGATTTAATCACTTTTAGTAGCGTGTCTGGAGCACATGACCACATACAGAAATCAGTCCAGCTAAAAAAAAACTGTTATAAACAGAGTATTCAGTCTGACGCCCGAGGTTTTTGCTCACAGGGATCTGCCTTGTTGCTCATTGTAGCTTCAATTCACACTGTAATCTATTCAAACTAACCGTAAGGTTGGGGCAGAGAGCTTGTGACTAAAGGGTCTATTTTAAGAGGCAGGTTTTAGGTCTGGGTCCTCACTCATCCTCATCTCTCACCTGTGGAAGGTGCGATAACCGGCACGTCATTGGTTTCTTGGCTGGCTCGGCTCCTGCAGCGAACGCCGACGTCCTCACTGTGGGAGCAGTCAGTCCGGCCCCAGATCCCGTGTGGACAGTCCAGCAGGGAGGTCTCTGATCCCTCACAGTGGACGTCGTCCAGGAGGATCAGCCCAACGCCCTCGCCGAACGCCCCGTCCGAGACGACCTCAGCGTGGCCCCTGAAGGTGGAGAAGAGGTTTTATATCCTGTTTGTAGTTTCTCTTTATTCAGAATTTGAAAGTAAAGTTATGCAGATACTCAAAGTTTTTTGTTTAGCTTAAGTAATACACAGTTTCATAACATAAAGTGTGTTCATCATACCAATGAAATGTCAGTCATTATATTTGGTCAAAACAACTCTGTTGACTCAGGTAAGATTCATCAGATTAACTACCAGACTAATCGCTGCAGCTCTACATATGGAAGAGGACTGATGTGTGCTTAGCCGTACATCTCTTTGGGTGTTTCCATACCTGTAGCCCAGCTGTCTACACACCACCTCTGCATGCTGCTGGGTCCAGTGGTCGTCACACACTGTCCCCCAGTCGCCGTTATGGAAAACTTCGACCCGACCTTCCCATGGACTGTCTCCTCCAACAAGACGCACCACACCATCTAAAACGGTTTCATATTTCTGTGATAAAGTCTGTAAATGTGATTAAGGGCAGATATACTTGATGCACTTTATGCAACCATGGGGCAAGATTAATTTTTTATGGATGCTAACATTAATCTATCATTTTCAGATCAATTATTAATCTTAGTCTGATGTATAGTGGCTGTTGATTCATGCCAGTGGATATGTTACCCTTCAGTTCCCATAAAGAGGAAGCTGCTGCTTCATGCAGTAATCATTTATTGATGTTCAGGGGCTATAAATAGCATGTTGAAGCCTATCAGTGTGTACAGAACCCTGTGTGTGTACTTTACCTGTATAAGGACTGCAGGAGACCCCAGCATCCTCCATGTGGTCACAGTTGTGCTGCTCCCAGTCACCATGGGGACACTGCTCCAGGAAGAGCTCGTTTCCGGTGCACTTCACAGCATCCAGCAGAATCGGACCCGAACCCTGACCGAAGTGAGCCCATGACCAGGCCTTCGCCACCCCACTGCAACACATGAACACATAAAAAACTTTGTCTCAATACTGTGTCCATTTCTTCCATTGTTAACAGAGATTGAAAGTAATTTTGAGATGGGAAAGACTAAAGAGTCAGGTTAAACATTTATATTAAAGTGTCAAATGACCTGATGAGCCATTGTTAGCAGTGCTTTAAAATATTAATAGAAATTTAAAGGGTGTCATTCTTCCATGAAAATATTATGATGTGAAAAATGTCATCGAAAAAAGGTCATTATAGAATATGTGAAAAAACGTACTTTAATTCATAGTATATAAAAAAACGTCAGAGTATAGCATGTTGTCCAAAAATCATCATAGCACATTATGTTGTCCAAAATCATGACATAATGTCATAGTGCAGTATGTCGTCCAAAATATGAAAAAAGTCATCGTATAGCATGTCGTATGAACTCATGAAAAAAAATCACAGTGTAGCATGTCGTCCAAAAATATGAAAAACAATCATAGTGTAGCAAGTTGTCCAAAAATACGAAAAAACATCATAGTATAGCATGTCGTCCAAAAACATGAAAAAAACGTCACAGTATAGCATGTCGTCCAAAAATATGAAAAAAAAGTCATAGTATAGTATGTTGTCCAAAAACATGAAAAAAAATGTCACAGTATAGTATGTCGTCCAAAAATATGAAAAAACGTCATAGTATAGTATGTCGCCCAAAAATATGAAAAAACGTCATAGTATAGCATGTCGTCCAAAAACATGAAAAAAACGTCACAGTATAGCATGTCGTCCAAAAATATGAAAAAAAAGTCATAGTATAGTATGTTGTCCAAAAA